AGAGAGAGAGAGAGAGAGAGAGAGAGAGAGAGAGAGAGAGGGAGGGAGGGAGACAAATACACACAAAAACATACGTGCACTTCAGCAGAACGGAAAGAAAAAAATAGACAGTCAGTCCCTAAACTCACAGAATGCAGAATAGAAAGGCACAGGGTTAATACGAAGGAGTATGAGCCTAAAAATTTGCCTACAAATGTTTGAACAATGGAATAAAACAATAAGATGATCAATGAATTGTTCAAACATTCTCTCTATCTTCACATACTTATTCTAAGATGGTTAGTGCAATCCCAGACGGGCAATGGATATATTGAAATCAGCTGATTATAAATGTATGGCTAATTGAAGTCACCTGAGCGGACAATGAATTAACAGGATAGCGAAACCGAAGTTTCCAGTGCATAAATGACAAGGTTCGCCGGGTCCACGTGGCTCGTTCCTTTTGTTCGCGGAAACATTAGTTCATTTCACAAGGGAAAATAACCAACTCATTTAGCTAACACAGCAGTTTATGGTGACAACTTGGGTTCAAAGAATTCCACTGTTGATCAGAATACGTGCATACTTTCACTATTACCAATGACTTGACCATTCTGGATGTCTTAATGCTTTCATTGTCACATAATTTATTACTTTTTCATGTTTCTCCTGACGCTGAAAGTAGACAGCTTCCAAATCATTAGTGGCCGTCAATCAAGTGTTCATTCAAATGCACTATGTTAAGCCCAGAATACTGTCTAATTCTTCCAAGTTCAATTGTTCGTCAATCCAGTGCTCGATTCCGACCGAGAGAGGTGTACCCGGAGTTGATGTGTTTCTAGGCAATGCGGCTAGTGTCGAATCAGGAATCGGTTGAGTTGCTTCCGTTTCGACTGTTGTCACATCACTGCCTCTGATCGTTTGGTCGGTGCTACAGTCTACTCGGTCGCTGGATAGTGAATCTGGCTCAACAACTTGTTCTGGCATTTCTAGGGAATCCGCGAACAGTTCTGTGATGGATTCGGATAAATTACATGACCACCAGTCGTATAGGGGTTTCAGACCGACGCCTCTTATAGTTAAATCTATGGGATCCGATGTGGTAGATATGTTGTCCAATGGAGGGATATGACTTGGTGGGCTGCAGGTATTAGGAAATTCTGCGGCACAGTTGGCATCTACGGTGATTGCTTGGACTGTCCCATCCTCATCGGGAAGTCGCGAAGACGGATCCAGCATTACTGTGCGAAGAAATGCATCCATTTCCGAAAAATCTTGATCCGCACCGAGTTCCATGGATCGATCGTCAATTTCCCTTGGATAGGGAGTTGGTTCCGAATCACCATGGTATGAAAGTACTTGGGGTGAATCAGACTCATCTCTGGAGCGGAATGCCGCAACATCGGAAGTAGTACAATCCTGTGGGAGGACTGTAGTAATCAGACTGGATGACTCCATTGTGCTCGACGGATGAATAATTTGTGCTGATAAGCTCTCATCCACCTCTGGGACCAAATGTGGTGGAGGTGTGTACAAATCCGAAAGTGGTGGAGAAGAACTGGATGCACAACTGGAANAAGCAGTATCGTTCAAAGAACTGCCATCCGAGTGTAATGTTTGACGCTGGAAACTTCCAAGGCGCTTACGTTTCCCAAAACCGTTTTGCACTTCATGGGGATCATCTATTTGATCCAGGGAACCGTAACGCCGCAGTGCTTTTGGTGAACACCGATATGTGGATACATTAGCCATGCTACTTTCAGGGTGAATGTCACTGTCGCCTGAGAGACGCGAATCTTTTTGGGATACATAATTCAGATGTGAACAAGTGACTGTGGTTTGCCAAGCAGACAAGAATTTCGGGCTAACTTTTTTATTCTCTAATTGGGATTGAAACTCAGGGTTCAGTCTCCATAAGTCCCCTTTCCCTCCGGGTTCCTCTTTACGGCGAGGCACACGTTGAAAACAGCGGCTTGTGGTTAGATTCTCGCGAAAAATGTCCTATAAAGAGAAATGGATCAAATTTGATATCATCAGATTCCGTGCACGAGAATTCCACGCAAACAAGTCGGGCAAATGTGAAATAATATTGCACAGTTACTTTTGTTTGGTTTGTTAAATTTAAGCAAACAAGTTAGCGTGAACCCCATATACTGGGATCGAAAATATTTGAACATTGGGCAATGCGAACAGTAAAACGAATCGGCCGCGGCAGTGGTGTTCAAGCGTTTCATGTTACTCGCCAACTTAATTTGAAGGTCATATATCCCAACCTCAAAATCACTGCACATCTTGCCTGTTTCTTCGGTCCTTTGATTGATCAAATCCCCCTACTTGAGAGTTGGTTATGCATTCCCGTAAGTCACAAGATGGGTTTAAATAAAAGAAAATAAAAGAACTATTAAGTATGCTCATTACAGACAATAAATCACAACTACCGCCCAAAAACAACAACAAGCATAATATAGCAGATATAAGCAGTGAAACCACGGAACGAAATCACTTTATAATTGTTATCAATGGATTTCATTTATAAAAAGATGCGGTGGTATTTGTAATCTGTAGTGAGACCAATGCACGTCGAACGTGAACCGCTTTTACTTCATACTTGTTCACAGACATCGATGACCAGATTGGGAAGATTAAATAACCAACATCAACCAATCACGAAATCTGATCTCACACGACTTTAAAGAGCGTGAAGGCATGAAGGATTTTGAACTGTCGCGCGCTGAATACGTGGTACGGAGGATGCATAAATGTCCCTTTTTACCTCCATTTCGTTTATTGAGTATACAAATGTACAGTCAACTTTCAGTAAAAGACCGCGGACATACGAAGGTTGCGTGGGGAGTGGGGGTAGGTGTACAGAAATGGGGAGATCGGTGGCGATGGTAGGATTCGAACTTAGGACATGGAAGTAGCTATTTTTATAATCGTATCGCCTGAATATCATCGCTGAGTTCTAGATTATGGAAAGCATTGTATACTTTTCTATAAACGGTTTAAATGCACAATAATAAATAATATTCAAAAACCAAAATTGATACTTGCGAATATTACCCGGAATGTACTGAAGATAAAATTATGATGGCGCATTCAATCTATTTCGAAAACATTATCCAAGTACCATCAGTGGTACACAATTTCAAACTGCGGATTTCAGGTTTCAAAATCAAATGTTTTGGACGAATTTTAACTGGAATTATAATTCTTTAAGCCACGTTACCGAGGCGTATGAGTTTTTTGTTTGGTCAACACAGCTAAAGATACCGAACATTTAAATAATTACATGTAGACTGTTACTCAAATACCATTAAAATATTTTAGCTGACCTCGTAGTCGAAACAACAAACAACCCTCGCACCATAAATAGCAGTCGTTTTATACCTGAATTTGCAGTTAACCGTGAGTGATTTCTTTGGCACTGAGTGTAAATGCAAATACGAAAGCAACCAATATTTTCGTTATCCCCATGCTCATGTGCATCACATACTCATATACACAAGTACACAAACACACGCATAAAACCTAACTAGATTTCTTATTCACTTCATCAATCTATCTTGTTCAATATTATAAGCTACCGATGAGAGTATACGTAAAGAATACTTCTCGTACTGATTTACCTGTTCAAAAGATTATTAATTGTTCAAAATGATTCCACTTTTAAAATATTATCTAAAACTTACGTTGAATATAGAATACTGCTGAAATAAATAAACAAACGAATAATAGCAAACAGGAACAGTACTTCTGTTGTTGTTCATATATATATATATATA